TTTACAGCACAGACAATATTGCATCCTGTATGAAATTGGGATGTAAATAATATATACCATGTCACCCATCTGTTTGAATCATTATAGTTAAAAACTAATTCAAGCATGTATAATTGTAGCATGCCTTTTCTATTGAACTGACATTCCATTCTCATAAGAAATACATGGAATTTAGTCTGTCCATTTCTGATTTTCGCCAATCGATCACTAACTTTTCTTTCAAAGAACTGCCTCAGTGGACTAATGGACTATAGCTTCCGCCCAGAGAGAGGAAGTTTGGGGGCTCAATCCCCAGCCACGTCATACCAAAAGATGGTAAAAGATGGTACTTGTGTTTACCATGACTGGCGCTCAGCATTAATGGGCTAAGGACTGCTTGGCTCAAAGTCAGTATACTGTGTCTGAGTGGGGTATTCATGTTAAACTGCAGCAAGGTATCTCAGTGGGCTAGCACTATAAAATCAGCATTAGTCCAGACTAGTACAAGCAGACACACACACACACACACACACACACACACACACACACACACACACACACACACACACACACACACACACACACACACACACACACACACACTCACATGCATACATGTCGCTATGTAAATGCAATAATCTTGAAAGCGATGTCAAACCCCATTTCACCTCACCACCTTGTACAGATATGACCTTTCACAATGTGCCCATGGCTTGAGAGAATATGCAACTTTATAAATATATGACGGTTTTCACCCTCGTCAACCGGGGACCCATTGTCATGCAGGTGGTGGTGTGGGAGAGGGGTAGCCTTGTGCTGAAATACCCGGGTTTGATTCCCTACATGGGTGCAATGTGTGAAGCCTATTTCTGGGGCCAGTGAACGTCAAGCCTGGGATTCCAAGAAAAGTATCCCTATGAGGACCACAATTAGGGTAGTATACTCCCCAGGGAGCTGAGAATGATTGTTGACTGCACACTGATCCATTGACTCGGGTAACAAGTGCGCTTTGAGCACCCACATATTATTATATATTATTATTATTATTATTAGATAGACCAAGGTAATCCCTGGTCCAACCATTCTCTATACAAGTTGTCCATCACAATGTCCAGATCTACAGTGTAGGAAGATTACCATTTCATGGTGTATGTATTAATCAGGTTCAAGTGTAATAATAACCCTTATAGACATTAGCATTATTCCATGCAATACACATTATGTTTTTTGGGTTTTCAAAACAATATCAAATATGATTGGTATAATGAAATCTCAGGTTATAGTTTTAGAACATTAATTTTATTTCTAAATCTCAAAATATTGAAAAAATATATTTTCAAATGAGAAAGAGACGAGAAAAGCAACAAAACTGTTTCGCGCCCTCATGTTTCCAACATCTTTCATTTCAAAGTGCAAATGATTATTTGTATTTTTTTCACTTTTCTTATGGCTCATTCTGATTACCGGGTTCTCTACTGATGCAGCCAATAATTGTGAGGGATTGCTGCATAGATTAATTAAAGATGAAACATTTTGAGTCAAAATTAGTCATTTTTAAAAAAAAAATCCAATAGGCAATAAAATTCTCTGTTAGGCTTCTAGAAATCTCACACTTGGAATAAAAGCCAAGTGACAAAGTGAAAAATAATTTTACAACTTTTCAAACATGCCGTTCCTAAACTTTGTGCCTGATATGGCAAACATGACCCATGACCTTCAAATGGTAACCTCTGACCTTTCCACGACAGGCAAAGAATTGAAGATTACAAAATTCAGCAGGCTTTGGCCTAAATCAAAAGTCAAAATGGGGCCTGGGAACCTTTAACATTGACAAATCTTTATAATCAAGGATAGAGTCTCCGCCACTGAATTTTTATGTAAATGAAAAAAGATAAAATCAGACATGCTACAGCTTGGGTAGTGTTGGGGAAATTGGTCTCAACCCCGGACTAAGACCCTGAACGGCTTCAGCTGTTATCAAAGCTGTATCTTCCCAGCTGCGTGCCATCATTCACATCAGCAGTGCAGACGAAAAGCAGAAACTGTGGTTCCACATCACTGTCGGTTGTTAAGGAATCTTGACACAACTACGGGAAGACATGCTTCGTAGCAGATTGAGGCAGAGTATATCAGACATGCCCTCTTTCCCATTCAGAATCTATTTGCTTAATATTCAATATTTTTTATTGTTTTTAACAAAAATCTTTTATTGCTAAGTGGGTTTCTTATTTAATTTCTGTAACCATTGCTTTGGATATTTCAGCGAGTCGATTGAAACTGTTCAAAATATCAACATAAGGAAATCTCAAGTCATAATATACCCAGTCGCGGTTCAACCGCACCATTCTACAGTAAATGGATCAACCTACAGCAGCCCAATGTCACAAACAATATGAAATTTAAAATAATTATTAAGATGTAATATAATTAGTAGCTTAATGAAAAAAACCAAAACTTATGTAGGAGGAAAGGATTATAATAACATTGAGAAGTGCTGTGCCTTCATTTGAACTATACCTCAATTCACCCAGCAGTCACTGGGTACCCGGTAGAATACACACCTATCATGTATCAGGCAGCATGGATTGTATGCCTCCAATGGGGACTCTGAAATGTCACAGTCACTGGGTACCCGGTAGAATACACACCTATCAGGTATCAGGCAGCATGGATTGTATGCCTCCAATGGGGACTCTGAAATGTCACAGTCACTGGGTACCCGGTAGAATACACACCTATCATGTATCAGGCAGCATGGATTGTATGCCTCCAATGGGGACTCTGAAATGTCACAGTCACTGGGTACCCGGTAGAATACACACCTATCATGTATCAGGCAGCATGGATTGTATACCTCCAATGGGAACTCTGAAATGTCACAGTCACTGGGTACCCGGTAGAATACACACCTATCAGGTATCAGGCAGCATGGATTGTATACCTCCAATGGGGACTCTGAAATGTCACAGTCACTGGGTACCCGGTAGAATACACACCTATCATGTATCAGGCAGCATGGATTGTATACCTCCAATGGGAACTCTGATATGTCACAGTCACTGGGTACCCGGTAGAATACACACCTATCATGTATCAGGCAGCATGGATTGTATACTTCCAATGGGAACTCTGAAATGTCACAGTCACTGGGTACCCGGTAGAATACACACCTATCAGGTATCAGGCAGCATGGATTGTATACCTCCAATGGGAACTCTGAAATGTCACAGTCACTGGGTACCCGGTAGAATACACACCTATCATGTATCAGGCAGCATGGATTGTATGCCCCCAATGAGAACTCTGAAATGTCATGCACTTTGAGCAAGTTAAATGGATAGTTATTTTATAGCTATTATTATCATGACAAGTTATTTGACTCAATTCATATGCTTCACAAAAGTTGAGCAAAATTGAACTATCTCCAGAGGTACAAAATGTTTTTTAAACTACTTTTAGCACAACTTCCTTTCTGTTGGGGGTATTAATATTGAGCTTAACATGTTGGGGATCAAACCCAGGGCTCGTGCATGGCAAACCGACACCCTCATCACTGGCCAACCCTTTACCATCCTTAGAAATGCAATTAAGTTGCAAACTGATAAGTTCAAAGATTAAAACTGATGCCAGTTTTCTGGAACAAAATTCTGATGTGTTATCTAAAATGCTTGTGAGAAAGAATTATCAATAAAAATGCAAACATTTTAATGATTCCTGATTTGATTTTGCTCAAATTTTAATAAATTCTCTAAAACTGTGATTTTTTACTAAACTTCAAACTATTAAAATCTAATCTTGTCACATGTCATAATATTGTTCCGACTGAATGGATTCAGTTTGAAAAGATCTAAAATTGAATAGCTCCTCGGAGAAAACGATAAATATCTTTAATAATCCTGTTCCAAATTTCATGTGCAAAATTGATTGAAAATATTGAACAAAAAACATCACTTGGACTGGTACAGAGTCACATGTAAATCAGGAGTGATATATACATTTTATCAAACACATTATATTGTCTATCTGGAGAGGGGTTTGCATGCACACTTGCAATCCTATTAAACATGGCGCTACCCTCTGGTTATCAACGACTGCCTCCAGCATAATGGACACAAGCGTCTAGGGACTCCTGCCAAATGTGATCAACCGCTATTCCCATACTTTAACATGGACTTAGTACTTAGTACTGACTAAGATGCACATGGTAATGACTCAGTGAATCCAAGGACTTGACAAGAAGTTCATTATAAGTTATTTTTTAATGCCCTCTTCTATTATTTTCGAAAGATCACAATCAAAATCGCTCCCAAAACTTTAGGATAAATGTAAAGAATTTATGCATATTAAAGAAAACTACATCTAAAACAAAAGTATGATGTATTTTCAGGGCCCTTTTTTGCATATCAAGAGTGTCAAACTAAAGAAATAGAAAAAAACTTTCGCAAACATGAAGAACATTAAGTTCTCTAAGTTTGTTTGTTTGTTGCTTAACGCCACACTCAGCAATATTCCATCTCTATGACGACGGCCTGTAAATAATCAAGTTTTGGACCAGACAATCCATTGATTAATATCATGAGCATCGATCCACACAATTGGGATCGATGACATGCATCAACAAAGTCAGCAAGCCTGACCACCCTATCACATTAGTTGCCTCTTACAACAAGCATAGTCGTCTTTTACGGCAAGCATGGGTTGCTGAAGACCTTTCCTACCCCGGATCTTCACGGGTCAAGTTCTCTAAGTATCCACATCATGCCTTTATATTATATCATTATTTTTATTTGAAAAAATAGAACTGCGTCCTTTTTGTATGCCCCACCATATAGTTGATACATTGTGACCCTCCCTATAATACATGACCAGTCCCTTACGGCATATTCATATCACAGAGACTCCGCTTGAGGTGGGGGGAAAGCCAGAAGTGATGCAGGTCTTAAACTCGGCAATTTGGTGAAACCAACAAGCACGGGTAGGGTGCAGACAAACCTAGAATCAGAGCTAAGGCCAGTCTGGATTCAAACCACCTTTGGAGGAACACCCTTCACAGTTAGCAGCTTGCATGCCAGAATATCAGATGATGTATGTGGGTCCATGACGTGACATATTCCCTGTGGGTGGTGAAGTGCTGGCAGCAGGGAGGATGTGACATATTCCCTGTGGGTGGTGAAGTGCTGGCGGCAGGGAGGAGATGACATATTCCCTGTGGGTGGTGAAGTGCTGGGAGCAGGGAGGATGTGACATATTCCCTGTGGGTGGTGAAGTGCTGGGGGCAGGGAGGAGATGACATATTCCCTGTGGGTGGTGAAGTGCTGGCGGCAGGGAGGATGTGACATATTCCCTGTGGGTGGTGAAGTGCTGGCGGCAGGGAGGATGTGACATATTCCCTGTGGGTGGTGAAGTGCTGGGAGCAGGGAGGAGATGACATATTCCCTGTGGGTGGTGAAGTGCTGGGAGCAGGGAGGATGTGACATATTCCCTGTGGGTGGTGAAGTGCTGGGGGCAGGGAGGAGATGACATATTCCCTGTGGGTGGTGAAGTGCTGGCGGCAGGGAGGATGTGACATATTCCCTGTGGGTGGTGAAGTGCTGGGAGCAGGGAGGATGTGACATATTCCCTGTGGGTGGTGAAGTGCTGGCGGCAGGGAGGATGTGACATATTCCCTGTGGGTGGTGAAGTGCTGGCGGCAGGGAGGATGTGACATATTCCCTGTGGGTGGTGAAGTGCTGGCGGCAGGGAGGATGTGACATATTCCCTGTGGGTGGTGAAGTGCTGGCAGCAGGGAGGAGATGACATATTCCCTGTGGGTGGTGAAGTGCTGGAAGCAGGGAGGATGTGACATATTCCCTGTGGGTGGTGAAGTGCTGGGGGCAGGGAGGAGATGACATATTCCCTGTGGGTGGTGAAGTGCTGGCGGCAGGGAGGATGTGACATATTCCCTGTGGGTGGTGAAGTGCTGGCGGCAGGGAGGATGTGACATATTCCCTGTGGGTGGTGAAGTGCTGGCGGCAGGGAGGATGTGACATATTCCCTGTGGGTGGTGAAGTGCTGGGAGCAGGGAGGATGTGACATATTCCCTGTGGGTGGTGAAGTGCTGGCGGCAGGGAGGATGTGACATATTCCCTGTGGGTGGTGAAGTGCTGGGAGCAGGGAGGATGTGACATATTCCCTGTGGGTGGTGAAGTGCTGGCAGCAGGGAGGATGTGACATATTCCCTGTGGGTGGTGAAGTGCTGGCGGCAGGGAGGATGTGACATATTCCCTGTGGGTGGTGAAGTGCTGGCAGCAGGGAGGATGTGACATATTCCCTGTGGGTGGTGAAGTGCTGGGAGCAGGGAGGATGTGACATATTCCCTGTGGGTGGTGAAGTGCTGGCAGCAGGGAGGATGTGACATATTCCCTGTGGGTGGTGAAGTGCTGGCGGCAGGGAGGATGTGACATATTCCCTGTGGGTGGTGAAGTGCTGGGAGCAGGGAGGAGATGACATATTCCCTGTGGGTGGTGAAGTGCTGGGAGCAGGGAGGATGTGACATATTCCCTGTGGGTGGTGAAGTGCTGGGGGCAGGGAGGAGATGACATATTCCCTGTGGGTGGTGAAGTGCTGGCGGCAGGGAGGATGTGACATATTCCCTGTGGGTGGTGAAGTGCTGGGAGCAGGGAGGATGTGACATATTCCCTGTGGGTGGTGAAGTGCTGGCGGCAGGGAGGATGTGACATATTCCCTGTGGGTGGTGAAGTGCTGGCGGCAGGGAGGATGTGACATATTCCCTGTGGGTGGTGAAGTGCTGGCGGCAGGGAGGATGTGACATATTCCCTGTGGGTGGTGAAGTGCTGGCAGCAGGGAGGAGATGACATATTCCCTGTGGGTGGTGAAGTGCTGGAAGCAGGGAGGATGTGACATATTCCCTGTGGGTGGTGAAGTGCTGGGGGCAGGGAGGAGATGACATATTCCCTGTGGGTGGTGAAGTGCTGGCGGCAGGGAGGATGTGACATATTCCCTGTGGGTGGTGAAGTGCTGGCGGCAGGGAGGATGTGACATATTCCCTGTGGGTGGTGAAGTGCTGGCGGCAGGGAGGATGTGACATATTCCCTGTGGGTGGTGAAGTGCTGGGAGCAGGGAGGATGTGACATATTCCCTGTGGGTGGTGAAGTGCTGGCGGCAGGGAGGATGTGACATATTCCCTGTGGGTGGTGAAGTGCTGGGAGCAGGGAGGATGTGACATATTCCCTGTGGGTGGTGAAGTGCTGGCAGCAGGGAGGATGTGACATATTCCCTGTGGGTGGTGAAGTGCTGGCGGCAGGGAGGATGTGACATATTCCCTGTGGGTGGTGAAGTGCTGGCAGCAGGGAGGATGTGACATATTCCCTGTGGGTGGTGAAGTGCTGGGAGCAGGGAGGATGTGACATATTCCCTGTGGGTGGTGAAGTGCTGGCAGCAGGGAGGATGTGACATATTCCCTGTGGGTGGTGAAGTGCTGGCGGCAGAGGCGATGTGACATATTCCCTGTGGGTGGTGAAGTGCTGGCAGCAGGGAGGATGTGACATATTCCCTGTGGGTGGTGAAGTGCTGGGAGCAGGGAGGATGTGACATATTCCCTGTGGGTGGTGAAGTGCTGGCGGCAGGGAGGATGTGACATATTCCCTGTGGGTGGTGAAGTGCTGGCGGCAGGGAGGATGTGACATATTCCCTGTGGGTGGTGAAGTGCTGGCGGCAGGGAGGATGTGACATATTCCCTGTGGGTGGTGAAGTGCTGGCAGCAGGGAGGATGTGACATATTCCCTGTGGGTGGTGAAGTGCTGGCAGCAGGGAGGATGTGACATATTCCCTGTGGGTGGTGAAGTGCTGGCAGCAGGGAGGATGTGACATATTCCCTGTGGGTGGTGAAGTGCTGGCGGCAGGGAGGATGTGACATATTCCCTGTGGGTGGTGAAGTGCTGGCAGCAGGGAGGATGTGACATATTCCCTGTGGGTGGTGAAGTGCTGGCACGGAGACAATGTGACATATTCCCTGTGGGTGGTGAAGTGCTGGCGGCAGAGACAATGTGACATATTCCCTGTGGGTGGTGAAGTGCTGGCGGCAGAGACAATGTGACATATTCCCTGTGGGTGGTGAAGTGCTGGCGGCAGGGACAATGTGACATATTCCCTGTGGGTGGTGAAGTGCTGGCAGCAGGGAGGATGTGACATATTCCCTGTGGGTGGTGAAGTGCTGGCAGCAGGGAGGATGTGACATATTCCCTGTGGGTGGTGAAGTGCTGGCAGCAGGGAGGATGTGACATATTCCCTGTGGGTGGTGAAGTGCTGGCGGCAGGGACGGGCACGCCTAAGCTAAGGGACAGGACACAAAGTTGTAGAGCATATCTTCTTTACAGCTGGGGGATAACATGACATTTTTTAAAACATGTTTTGGTTTCATAATCAGTTAAATATGATTTCCATACAGTTATGGGAAGACTTTCAGCCATGTTTTAATGTATTCTCCCCATGGCCTGCAGATAGATGTTCCTCGGGCAGATTCATTAGAATAAGGAAAGAACAGAGGTTGAGAGGCTGATTGATAACGTAAACTTATTTTCACAACTGCGTCTTTGTCTGAATATTGTATGGACCTTGCTTGTCTGGACCTGTAAGAGTCTTGACTTTGTTAATGTTGACCATCTCAGGCAGCTCCCAGTGAGTGAGGGAGTGAGTGAGTGAGTGAGGGAGGGAGGGAGGGAGGTTTTGATGGAAAGAGGGAGGAAGGGGCAGTGTGAGTTTGAGGGAGTGAGGGAAAGAGGGAGGTTGTATGGGTTGCAATGAGTGTTGCCTTTACAGCTTTTTAAATATTCTTATCACTACCCACCCGAGTTGTTGCCAAGAATCTTGCAACGCAGTAAGGAGACGGTTTTGCCATCGAAACTTGTAACTTTGCATAAGGTATCACTTCTGCAAAGATTTATTTTACAATGCAGTGTTGACAGTAAGGGGCAATAACTCCAGCCACATCCAGGTACCCTGCCTTGTCATGTCAGAATTTAAAACAAATTTCAACCAAATTGAACTTTTTTGAAAAACTGAATAGCTCATACATAAAAAACAAACCATTCTATAGTTACCAAATTGATCAATAGTATACATGACCTGACATAACCTAGCTTTGTCCCTATGAATATTCATGAGAAAAACACCCAGAAGATGCAAGACATTTAAAGGTCAAAAGATAAACTGGTTCAGGTCACAATACGCTCTGTGTCAGTGTTCTGCTAGCTATTATGAAAATGTAGCACACAGTTACAATATCAGCCATTTAGAATTATCTCCTCTGATTTATGGTACGCCCTACAAAACTTCATGCTACAAGTGTGATTACAGAGATTAATACAGATACTATCGCCCTCACAACTGATGAGAGTACCATAACATCTAATAGCCTTGTCCTGATAATAGAATGACAAAGCTCATGAAGCTAAAAAATAGGAGGATAGGAGCTATAGAGATGTGCTCCATCATAGAGTTATCTGCCCTTTAAGAACTCTCTGACAGAATGCTCTAAGAAGAGCACAAATTGCAAAATATGCCATCACCTCTGCCGGTTTAGACAGTCTTGATGAATCGCAACTTGGAACAAGACCCATGAAAAGTGATGATGCCATTTGTGTTTTATCTGATGGGTTGTGTCAGGAAAGTAGTATTTTCCCTTTCTTCATAACACAAAGACACATTAATGGAATCAGTTACGGATATTTTCTGTAGAAATCTTTGCAACCATATGTCAACAAGAACATCCTCGAGAGTAATGTTTCTAAAAACTGGAAACAAATATGTTCAAATTCCTTTTCTTTTAAGTTATCTGTTTTTGTACAAAGACAGGATTGTGATAAATGCATTCTTGTTGTCAATTTTCATTTTAGGTTGAAATGTTTTTCAGATCAGTTTCCACTAGGATTATGAAGGCTTGTAAATTCAGTTATGGGATTAGAAGCACGACTATGACATTTGTTTTTTATGTTTTCTTGCCAAAACCTTAAAATGTCTTCGACATGAGAATAGACTGGGCATTTTATATGATCAATAGTTTGTCAGTCGGCTGTTTGATACAGATAACAATTTTTTAATTATGATTTTTGTTTGAAATCTTTTTGTGGTATCACGTTTCCCACTGGAAGATGAATGTTTGTAACTTACCACAAATGATTTGCAAATGTGGAGATAATTTGAGTTTTAGACTTGCCCTCATCCAATTTAAGCCATTTCAGCTCCCTGGGAAGCATGCAAAGTGATCTGCTCATCGCCGACATGAAGCAATGAAAACAATGAGCATTTTAAAAACCAAACCTTCAAGAATGAATTTGTGGGCTCATTAAAATTGTAATTGTCACTTGTTCGTTAATGCAGAACCGCAGAGTGAGACACAAATCCTCGGGCAGTTCCCAATGCATCACTGCTGACCAAAAAAACGTTTTCTTTCAAACAGATCACTTCATCCACCCAACATCCTCGCTTCCCAAACCTGGCACTCCTACTGTGACAGCACATTGTCACGGCGACCATTACATGGGCATTTCCAGCACCACCTTTATGACAAATCAGTTTCCACAGTGAAAGCAAATTTCAATTTCAGAAGATTATGATTTTAATTTCCGCCCGTCCTGACTGCTACCCTTAAGCATCTGGTCCAGAAAAAGTCTGAATTAACAGAACCAAATTTTAATCACAATAGGCCCAAATCTCCAAATCCCATTTCTTAATTACTACCAACACAACAAACAATTTTCACGCATAACCGATTTTTTTAATTTGACACATCTTATGGAGTAACATTGGGTATTGAATGTGTTAAAACATCAGCATGCATCTTTATACTACCAAACTGCATAGCGGGGAATTAGGGGGCTGTCGTAAATTAAATTTTGTGAAAAATTGAAATAGTTTTAACCTAAGGTGAAAATTCCTTCATGGTTCAAAGACATTCAGGAAAATCAGGAAAAACTAATCCCTGTCTGATCATGATTCATCGGCATTTTAATTAGCTTGTGAAATGAACAAATCAGCCTGCATCTGGGTCACAGATTGTTCAAGAATCTTTTTTAAGGTTTGAATTTCTTTGTATCTCTTTCAACCTGGCATTTTAACGATTCTAAAACAAACCGGCATCAATTCCAAATTAAAGCTCCTAAATAAAGTTCGCAATTTGGGAAGAATTTGATATTTTTAATGGTTTTCCCTGGAGGACTGACAGTTCTAAGATAACAAAGGTACCTCATTGGTTCCCTGTTTTTGTATTCATATTTATTGTAAAAGGTTTATTGAGAAACGTTTACTGTGAAATGTTTATTGTAGAATGTTTATTGAGAAAAGTTTACTGTGAAATGATTACTGTTAAATGTTTATTGTGAAATGTTTATTGTGAAATGTTTAGTGTAAAATGATTACTGTTAAATGTTTATTGTGAAATGTTTACTGTGAAATGATTACTGTTAAATGTTTATTGTGAAATGTTTATTGTGAAATGTTTATTTGAAATGTTTATTTGAATGTTTATTGTAAAATGTTTATTGAAAAATGTTTATTGTAAAATGTTTTAAAATAGGCTATTTGTTTTTTTGGTAGAAAAAACATCGTAATATATTGTCTTACCTTCAGACAGTTGGTTCTTTAGTGGGAGAATATATCCTCCGAATCGTTCACTCAGGACAACAGTGTTGACCCACCTGAAAACAGAGGGACAATTATAGACAATGCAGCGTTGCGACATGGCGAAGTTGCTCATACAATATTCTTAGCATTAAGATCACCAAGACTCTTCAAAAAGAGAAAGCAAGGAGAGCCTGGTTTTCTTAAAATACTGGAAAATATTGTTTGCCTCAGGTTTACAGACAAAAATATAATTGCACTTGATGACCCCAGGAGATACCGATTTTATCCTTTGGCTTTATCCTGCTGAGAAACCTGCCCATTATACGATGAATACCCGGTAAACTGAAAGTAGTTCCGCTATTCCTGATTGGCTCAGAATAGATGGGCAGAGCTTATGTTACTGGGCTGAATGATGTCACAGATTTTGTATTATCGTCAACAATTATTTTTGTGTCAATGAATAAATAAGCAGTCTGTGAAGCTGTTGTTGGTATATTTATTTAGAAGAATTGACTTCAATATGTTCTTGTATTTCTGGAGTTATAAACATATAAACTGGCATGCAACACTTATTTACAGCAGCACACCAGTCGTTATGTTTATAACTCCAGAAACGCAAAAAGAAACATTGAAGTCCGTTCTTAAATCCTACCGTTATTAGTTTCATAAACAATTTACAGGTTACAAACATCGCAGCAGGTAATTGTCCTATGTACAAACTTCTGCCAGTAATTGTTATACTTTTATACAAATTTGTTATACAAATTATTGTTTCTGATTGTATGGGACGTGAGGTGAAATTGGGTTCAGTGTAGCATTCTAGATTATTGCACTTATACAGGGGTGTGGCTGCGTGTACTAGAACTAACAAGTACCATCTTATAACAGCTTTGATTGGCTGTTTATTTTCAGGAATAACTGTGTCATAAAAATCACATTCAAAATGAAGCTATGGTAACTGTGTTATGAAACCAAGTTTATTTTTCATGACTCAGAGACCAATCTCTCAGACAGCTCTGGAAATACAATTATTGTCATGACCAATCTTGAACTTTGGTCTGTAATATTGTGTATTAATCCTGTATCTTTTCCTGTGTATCAAATTGTGTATCACGTTACATGATTCCATATTTATGTATCATAAAGGTGACACAAGGCATAAACACCCAGGAACCAGTCTGCATAAGTTCCACAGGAGCATGTGACATTTCAAGTAAAACATGAATGATAAGCAAGTGTTTCTGCATTATGTTAATAAAACCATTAGAGCTTAATTAGCTAAAAGATATCATACAGCCATATTAGCTACATTTGTAATTCTGTTATATCATTACAGTTGCAATAAAGGCTATTATTTTGAAAGGAGTTGCATTAATAACCATGGTTGTTAAAAAATATGTTTCTCATTACCGGCCCACCATAAAATTGCCTATAAACATAATATTATTTTATGGATGGCTTGTCAAAAAAGTTGGAATGGGTTGCCAAAAGGAAATTTGACTTGCTTAAGCACTGATAAGAAAAGATATTTTCAAGTCAAATTTCTTTTTGGAAACATATTCCAACTTTTTGCACAAGCCATCCATTCAAAGTGTGTTAGATTCAAAGGAAAACCTAGAAGTGGTCGCCATGGCCTGAACTGTCTTCATACTCAAGCCCAGATCATAATCGAACTTTACAGTTTTGTAACCTACACACACAAAATAAAAAATCCTTTCAATCTACCCAGTCAGTTTGGACAAAACATCATGGGAAACAAGAATATTTTAACTGACCATATGAGAAATGTAAATCCAGATTCATGACACTGCATTACCTCTCAAGGCACTACATCCCTTTTTCAGTGTGAGTCAGAAGAAAACCGCTGAAAATAATACAAATAATGACACTATTCTTCCCATTATCTAAGGAACTGTATTAAAACCCTATCAAAGAATAAAGGATTCTTGTCATCCCCAGTGAAGCGTACCCTGATACGCTATCTCCGAGAGTCACTGACACACACGATCACGGAATCAAAGACGGTAGTCAAATTGTGTGATCCTCCACATCCTATGTTGTACCACTCTACGTGCCACACTGCATACAGAGATGACGACACAGGAATTAAACACCCATGCATTGTTGGCGTCTTACCATTGATCATTTGATTAACAGACTTCAGGATAGGAACTGCCGTGTGGAAATTGCACTGAAAGACTAAAACGGTCGAGTGGACACTTGTCTACATGCATTTTCTTATCACATTTAATTGAATTGTACCTTTTAGTTTATTCAATTACTGGAAGCTTTGTTATGTGTTCGTTTAAAAGGATAAATGCACAGCTGTCAACTGCTTTGGCCCCAAGTGTACTGGTTTGAGAATCAATAGGTACCTTCCTACTGGGATCCTGTCTACACCCAAAGGGAAATGTAAAGTTGCCATGTCGGCAATTTTAAGCATAAACAAATGTTGGCTTGATGTAAGGTTTTATTACAAGCATGTTATTTGGTTGACGTTAAATATAGGCAATTATAAAAAGTATAGTGTGCAGTTCGTGTTTTTGAAGCATTCCAGTAAAATGTTAGCAAAACATATTTATTTTATCGTTTTGCTGAAAGGAGCACAAATATCTTCATGCAGTTTTGTGTTTGGAGAGGACAATGTAGGCTTACGACCCTGTTTGCCTGAAGGAGATCTGCATAATTTAAGTTTTGAGCACAACTTTTAGAAATTGTTAAGAAAGCTATCAGATGTGTTTATATGAATGAGAACTAGGCTTTTTTCATGTCAAGCACTGTATGTTTTGGACTTATGACAACACCCAATGCATAGAGAAAGATCAAATATGTCAAAAAGGTTGATATTAGAGTTTTTAGGAAGTGTTTTCTTAATATTTGAACATGAGCAGGCCATTGACACATGCTGATTTTCATACATGTAGAAAAAACCAGTACAAACATGCTGGCCTCAAAGTTTATTTTTTCCTAAGGAGCCTGTGGCTCCTAACGATTGTTTTCAGGGAGCCAGGTGAAAAATGAAGGAGTTGAACTTCAAGACAATAGTCAGTAATGTATAATACGGTTGAAGCATATCTGATCTGCCTAACTGCAGCAAAACCGATTTCTTACGTTCAGTGTAACAAGCTTTGTTATTAGTAATGTTGTTGAAAATACTTGATAAGATGGTCGATTAATATTTCCCATACAATTGATTTTTAGATTTTTTAAATGAAATTTTAGTTCAGACTATCAGTATTTATTAATGTATTGTATTTCTATAATATGCAGTTAGTATTCAAGTTGCCTGCTTGATTTTGTCCAAGAACCAAACTGCTTAAATAATATAGGTCGCCAAGTGGAAATTATAATTGCCATGGTGACCACATTGGTTGTAACTTTGAGGCCTGACAGAGCCCAATGTTTGGTCACAGACTTGATCATCACACTGATATTTTCTTTTGAAATCAGCCATTTTCAATCATTTAGCCACACCTACATATTTCACCATGTCCCAAATTGCAAGAGTAAGAAAGAAAAGAGGCTAGTTATCAGTCACTGGAACATGTCTGACAATTTGTATACCAATGTTTCAAATTCTCCCGCAACATTAAAATTTGAACCAAATCCTTATCCTACCTGCTCCTTTAATATTGTCACGGCACGACTAATACCATTAATTACAGGCTCAAGTTGTAGGGGGTTATTTGTGAGCTAGAGATTTCAGGTATGATATTGACACAATCACAGCCTCCACAATGGCACCTATTTCAAAAACTAAATCAAAAATGCATTAGCAGTAATTGAGATCTTCAATCCTCTGTCATGTCAATTTCATCCACATTTACTGTCGTACGTTGCTATGATTATTTTGTCAGACAGCACCGGCAATGTCATATGTATTATTAGTGTTGTAAATATCATTACCACCGCAATTGACAATGACTGATGACATTTTGCTTAATGTAGACGTGTAAATGTCCCAGCTTTTCAATGCGATATTAACAGCAATCAACGCGCTAATACTACCACTAAGCAGTCCATAAACCATAAGGCTGGCAGTACACTTGCTGAACAGAAGGCTATCTCAAGCTATTGTCACAACTTATCAAACTTGTGGAAATCGACAAGGATGGTAATTGCAGATCAACACTGAGTCATATATGCATATATAATATAAACACTGATGTATTACCATGCTGCTATCGCCTTTCTCTTAGCTCTATCAACATGCATACACATCATGTCAATAGCATGTTAAGTGATGTGGTAGTACTGATAGCATTGCTATAGACCACAGGTCATCTACTCCATGTTGTTATTCATGTGCTGTACAAACACAATGACCACTGCCTCGCCACACTGACGGGTGGTTGAAATAGGACTGCAGCTCTTCTACATGGGTAGTTCCTGCATCTCAATGTGTGGGAATGAGGACAAAGAGTGGTAATACATTAGCAGGGGGATCACCAGTACAAGAGGATGTTTGATTATGGTTGGAAATCATCCATTAATAATGTCTAAACGCTTTATACCTCCATCCCCTTTAATAATGTCTGAACGCCATATACCTCCATCCCACCCCCTTTAATAATGTCTGAACGCTATATACCTCTATCCCACCCCCTTTAATAATGTCTGAATGCCATATACCTCTATCCCACCCCCTTTAATAATGTCTGAACGCTATATACCTCTATCCCACCCCCTTAAATAATGTCTGAATGCCATATACCTCTATCCCACCCCCTTTAATAATGTCTGAATGCCATATACCTCAATCCCACTCCCTTTAATAATGTCTGAACGCTATATACCTCTATCCCACCCCTTTTAATAATGTCTGAATGCCATATACCTCTATCCCACCCCCTTTAATAATGTCTGAACGCTATATACCTCTATCCCACCCCCTTTAATAATGTCTGAATGCCATATACCTCTATCCCACCCCCTTTAATAATGTCTGAATGCCATATACCTCCATCCCACCCCCTTTAATAATGTCTGAATGCTATATACGTCTATCCCCACCCCCTTAAATAATGTCTGAATGCCATATACCTCTATCCCACCCCCTTTAATAATGTCTGAA